ATTTTTGAAACTTCCACGGGTATATTTTCTTCAAAGAATTTAAACTAAGCGCTTTGCAGATCATTTCTGTGTTATCACTTGATACTTTTTTTATAAAATATTACTATATAATATAATATAATATATAACACAATACACATAGCATAATATGGTACACATTAAGCGAATAAATATTATAGTAATGTAGTACAGTGTTAGATACAATCGCGTCATAGTCTCCAGTAATTGTGGCAATTACGATATCGCAACATATATATCGTAATTTCCTACGAATCGTCGTTTTGTAATATTTAATGCCATACATTGTGTTCCGCCACTGTGTGCACGGCACAAAGGCGAATAAATTAGAGCGTTTCGAAATGCACTGCTGGAGTGGGCTGAGCTTTTGGATCGGCGCGCTCATACGCACGGAGATATCAACGCCCGATCGAGAGAGATCTCGCTTAATTCGCATAATTGGAATTGAAATCTCCGTAGCTACGTCATCATGTGAGACCCACTCGGGGGCGCCGCATGTTCTTCTTTCTCTATAGTATTTTACATATTACATCGTGTATTTTTGCTGTGTTGCTCGCCTTCCGAATATCGAAGATGGACAGGAACATGAAGGGAAGTGAGGAAAGGAAGGTCTGAAGTCGTCAAATTTTTTTGCTTTTAACCATAAACGAGGAAAAGAAATATTGAAAGATTCATTGATGAAATCATAAAAACATTAATTTAATTATAAATCAGCGCGTTTTGCTCTTGTTCAAGATAGAAATCTGTTTAAACGTTATCGTTCATCAATCTTCATTCAATTAGATAAATAAGCGTTACAGATCGACAAGATGTTATGCCACGCTATTATGATTATGTTAAGGAGATTCTCCTCTTATTAGAAAATTATTCAAGGAGAACAAGACAATTGAAATTAATATCAATTTCCTTGTTCGAACTTGCAGTGCAAATATAATAAATTGATAGAAACAAGAATTAATTAGATCAAAGATCAAAACTAGTTTATTAAAACATCAAGAAGGGATTAAAATTATCCATTAATACAAAATGCAAAATTAATTTCTCGTTGACATTTTAATAAACTAGTTTTAATTTTGACTTAATTAACTGCTCGTTTGTTTGAGTTTTTCTATCAAAATAATGTCATATGAATTGAATCATGATAAAAAAATGAATAAATTCGATCAATATAATGTTAAATTTACATTATTTTAACTTTCTTGTTCTCCTTGGATATACTGATGTCACAAACACATTGGATAAGATATGAAATGTACAAGCTAAACACCGATGTTTATTAAAACGTCATCCACCGTTCAGGTGCGAAGAAATTCGCCTGTTCATATGCAGCACAAGCGATTACGGTTCCGACAGGTGCCACCACCTTGCGGAACCGTTGGCTTCTGCTGCTTAGAACTCAGGAAAGTATTGCAAGAACTTGCTGGATCTAAATTATATAGATACAATGTAAGAAAAATATATATACATATGCAAAGAAATGTGCAAGTCACTTGTTTAATTTAAATTGATCGATATTATATATTCATTCCCACGTCATCTTTCATGGATAAGATAGAAGCCCTTATAAAATTCTAGAAAATAGAATTATTAGAAAAATTCTGTCAATAGCTTGGTGCCTTTATGAAATTTTAAAAAACTTCGGACCTTTTCTCATCAATCACAAGGAAATCACCGATTGTGTGCGACTGTTAAGTTGCCATCATCGACTTCGGCGAGTCTTTCGTTTAAAATTTTAATCGAGCAACAAATTGTAAAAAACGTCTAATTTTCATTTTTCGTCTAGGAACATTTGATGACACACAATATCGGCGCCATGTTGTTCGTGGCTACGGTCCTGCACCCATTACAATCGCGCGGACTCCACAATCCCACAACGAGCGATTGTATCGGGGAGCTGCTGGAGAACGAAAGAGGAAGGGATCTCCATGTCGGTTCAGTGAGCTCACGCACGTCGAACACTCATCAACGCACGGCGTCGCGACGATACGTCCAAAAATGGCGTTCCTCGCATAACATAGTTCACCGTCGTCGTCGAAGTCCGTTGCCGACGTTCGCCAACGTCGTCACGAGCCGATCGACCTGGTGGAATCGCGAGGCGCCAATCCGAGGAAGAGACAACGTAAATATACCAGTTCGCATACCGTGCGTTCCTACGTTCTGCGTGCTCGCGGTT